CCCAAGCCCCCCACCCCCCACCCCCCGTCCCCTTTTACCCCCTCTCCTCGCTTTGGCCCTCCCCCGTTCGGCGGCCGACGGCGATCCTTGGCGTCCCGAAGCTCCTGCCCTCCTCCTCCTGGGTCGTTTGGCTTCGTTCGAAGACCCCAGCCCCACTTTTGCATCCCCTCCAGTCATTACGGGATTTCTTCGTTATCTGACGGGGGTCCCGGATCCTTCACCCCGCGCTTTTCGTTTGCTGCAACGTTTAATGGGGCAGCCGGCCCTTTTGGGGTCGTTGGTGCAGGGTTACGTTCCGTCCCTCATCCATTCGTGGTTGGTTCTGGGTTTGGAACCGGGTGAAGCAGAGGAGGTGGCGAAACCCACAGTGGGGCGGCGGGATCGAGGGCGGGGGGGGGCGTATGAAGAACGGGGGCTGTGGGGTCGAGAACGGGGGCAGGATCGAGAAGGGGGGCTGCAAGGTGGAAAACAGGGGCTGTGGGATCGAGAACGTTGTCAGCAGGATCAAGAACAGGGGCTCCAAGATGAAGAACAGGGGCTCCAAGATGAAGAACAGGGGCTGCAGGATCAAGAACGTTGTCAGGAGGGTGAAGAACGGGGGCAGGATCGAGAACTGGGGATGCAGGATCGAGAATGGGGGCAGTGTGATCTAGAACATTGTCAACAGGGTGGAGAACTGGGGCAGGATCAAGAACTTTGTCGATTGGATGGAGAACGTGAACGGTGTCAACGGGATCGGGAACATCAAGGGTGTCAGTGGGGTCAGGAACGTTGTCAACGGGATCAAGAACATCACCAGGGTCAACGGGATCAAGAACATCGCCAAGGTCAATGGGATCGAGAACGTTGGCGACGGGATCGGGAACATCAGCGGTGTCAAGGGGATCCAAAATGTTGCCAACGGGATCGAGAACGGCAGCTTTGGCAGCGGGATCAAGAACAGGGCCTGCAATGCCAACGGGATCAAGAATGTCATCAATGGTGTCAATGGGACCAAAAACGGGGACAGCGGTGCCAGCGGGATGGAGAACGAAGCCAGCAGTGCAGTCTGGATCTAGAACGTCGGTCACCGGATCGAGAACGTCGCCAACAGTGTCAGTGGGGTGGGAAATGTCAGCGGCGTTGTCTGGTGGATCAAGATGGCTGCCAGTGGTGTCAATGGGATCGAGAATGGGGTCAGGATGGGGCCCAAGGGGATCGGGGACGTCAGTGGGATCAAGACCGGGGTCAGCAGCGTCAGTGGGATCAAGAACGGGGTCAGGGGGGTCGAGAACGGGGTCAGGGTGGGGCCCAAAGGGATCGGGAACATCAGTGGGGTGGAGAAGGGGGTCGGCAGGATCGAGAACGGCATCAAGGGGGTCAAGAACGTCAAGTGGGTGTGGAACGGCGTCATCAGGGTGGAGAACATTGGGGGTGGTGCCAGTGGGATGGAGAACAGCGTCAGTCGGATCTAGAACGGCGTCAGGGGGGTCGAGAACATCAAGCAGATGGAGAAGAGCATCAACGGGATCGAGAACGGGGCCAGCAATGGCAGCAGGATGGAGAACCATGTGGAGCAGATCTGGAACGGCGCCTACAGCATCAAGAGCCGCGTCAACTGGATCTAGAATGGCGTCAGCAGGATCCAGGAGCACGTCAGGCAGATCTAGAACGGCATCAAGTGGGCGTAGAACAGCATCAAGTGGATGGGGAGTGGTGTCAGCAGTGTCAACGGGATCGAGAACCACATCGAGCAGATCTAGAACAGCGCCAACGGGATCCAGAAGTGAGTCGGCTAGATCTAGAGCAGGATCTAGAACAACAACAACTGGATGAAGAACGGTGTTGGCGATGTCAACGGGATCAAGAACCGCATCAAGCAGACCGAGAACGGCATCAGGCAGATCTAGAACGGCACCAACAGCATCCAGAATGGCACCAAATGGATCTAGAACAGCAGCAAGCAGATCTAGAACTGCATCGACCGGACCTAGAGCAGCATCAGCGATGTCAAGAGGATCGAGAACTGCATCAAGCAGACCTAGAACGGCACCAACAGGATCCAGAACAGCATCAAATGGATCAAGAACCGCATCAAGCAGACCTAGAACAGCACCAACGGGATCCAGAATGGCAACAAATGGATCTAGAACAGCAGCAAACAGATCTAGAA